TTGAATCCCCTGGATTGAATCAATATTCCAGGTACTGGATTGAATCAATATTTTAGATATTGGATTGAATCAATATTCCAGGTATTGGATTGAATCATGAAAATCAAAAGATTGAATTGAACCAAAAATTTTATTTGCCATTGGATTGAATGCCTTTTTCTATCTTTAAATAAAACCGTTATTTAAAGGATTAAACATATATTGCAAGGATTAAATTTTGCTACAAACGGCTTGCCATAGTACACTGCGTCAGATTTCACCGGAAACCGCTAACGCTTGATGGGTTAAAACCCAACGAAAAGCCGCGAATGTGTTCGGAGCATATATGTCAAATCTGGAAAAGTTAGGTGTTATGCTGTCGAAAGTGGCGAGAGACGAGACGGAGTACAATCCTCCCAAGAAAAAAGCCAAATCGCTTGGTTATTCAGCTGAGTGGAAATTATGGTAAGCTTCTTTCAGTTATCATGTCTTCGCGATACAAAAAGAACAAAACAAAACCGCTTATTTTTTTATTTAAACCTGTAAATAAAGTCGTTCACATCATTCGTAGGTTAATGGCTAATTATGTATACCAAGAGGGTGCTGTGACGCCTATACAGGATATCATCGACCACGCAGAGCAAAGTAAGGTGAACACTAATAGCGGATCACATTTGAGTTATACGTCGTTGGGTCTTCTTGTACACGATGTTTGGCTTGGTTCAATTCAAAAAGTAAAGAGAGGTCCACGTAAACAACAACGGAATGTTTATTTAAATCTAAGTAGAAATGACCCAGCACCGAAACAACATCAAGATTGCATTTCGCTATCAGGTAAACTGGCTGGTATAAGCATTCCAAGTGACTGGAAAATGATGACCGACAAAACTAACTTTGTATCCTTTGTTCGCCCAGAAAAATGGGAGTTCAACAACGTTAGAGCGGTAACTGAAGTGGTCGTGTCCAAAACTGTCAATTCAGACAACGCTTTTATCACCATCAAGGCTCATGGATACCAAAAGGATTTAAGTGATGTCCCCGGTCTTTCCTCATTGTCCGTTCAAGGTCAAGATAGTCTGGCTTTGGAGTACATCCAAAAATCCTCTTTTTGCGATGGGTTTGCCCTTCCCGAAGGAGAAAGTATTCAAGCCTTTGTGCAACATGTGTCAGGGTTGTACAACGACCTGTCAAATGATGGCCAAGACAACATCAATTTGGTGTTCTCTTCAAAGTGCAAAATTTTTAGCGTTACCGGGGCTCGCTTCTCAGAGTGCAACAAAGTATTCAAAATGCAAAACTTCAAGAGGCAGCGCAAGGAAAAACGCATCGGGATTAACCCTAAATGTACCAAACGATATTTGTCTAAGGAGGAAGTTGTCCTTCAACTAAAACAAGAAAGGAGCAACAGGATTAATGCGGAGAGGAGAGAGAAGTAGTGGAGAGACAAATTCGAGAACGAGTGTTTCAGGATGGATGACGAGGATAACGCGGATCTTTCAACGATGCTACAGAACGTGGCCAAAGAAAAGGTACCAGACGAGATGGCATGTCTTTGGGAGCAGCAGAAGAAAATAATCCAAACAAAAACCAAACATGGATACCGATGGCATCCTAAGTAAGTACAAGCTTTTGAGATTTGTTTTATTTTATTTTATTTTCGCTTAGCAGACAGTTCTTCAACGTTGTGGCGACGCAAATTTAGCTTTAAAAAAGTTGCCCTCATTGCGGAATAAGAAAATGTACCTATGGTAGGGGTCAAAATAGAAAATCACTCGCGAATGAAGAGATACAGAACTAGATCATTACTTCAATGGGTAAGTTCTTGAATAACAACCGGATTGGAAAAGATCATGTATAACGCATTTCTTTGATTAGCTCATTTTCATTTGAACGATTAAACACATTTCTCGCAATAAATAAGGCCATCAACTGATGGAAACGGCAAAAGATATTAGCGAATGGTTTGCTACAAATTGCAGTTTTGCTCAATACAGGTTGAAAGTATTTGTACAACAATTTCCTAACTTCTTGTTGTTGTTCTTATTGCTTTTTTTAAACAGGATATATACTATACTGTAAAAATCCCCACGTTCTTGACCCGCTAAGAAAATTCATTACTCTCCCAAGCAACCGCACAATAAGGTATGAGAAGACTACATGCACCTATTTTTCAAACGTAACGTAAATGTCATCCACATGGCTCTTTACATGTCATACATCGTATTAAGAATAGTATACAATACCACTTACAAACAAAACCTATCTACATGCTTCCAGATTTTACAAGAACAAAGTAGATGAAAAACCCGGATGGAACGACCAGGTGCTAAAGTGGTGCTTGGAGCAGCACTGGAGAAAGGTCTCAAGAAGGAAGACTACTGGGGAGGCTTTTTAATTGACGAAATGAAAATTCAGGTTCGTAGGACACTTTTCCGAGCAGCTTTAAAAATGAAGTTTAGTTGTGTTGCACTTGATTGCATCATCCTTTATTGATTATTTATTGACTGTAAAGACTCACGTTTGATGAGACTAATAAATTATTGTTTAAAGACTACATTCATCCATTCATCGTATGGAATATGCTAAACCTACAGAGAACCTCATGAAGGGTGTAGCTAGAGAGGCGGTCCTGGAGTGCCCGTGACCCCCCCATTCTCGTTAAACCAACCACACTGCCTCTCACTGAAATACATTTTCACTGATGAGCAGTGAGACTAGAATAGAGTAGCTTCTATTACATGGAACTCAAAACTGCTAATCCAAAAGGTAAATGCAACGTTTCAAAAACACAACAGGGATGTCAACATGAATATCTGGAAAGTACCTTGGGTTTGACACATCCCCCCCCCTTGGAAAAATCGTAGCTACACCCCTGAACCTCATCATCTGGATACAAAAACGAAGCTCTCAATTTTCAAAGCACGTAAGGCTATTTACAATTTATGTAAAAAACGTAATGTTCTTTATAACCTTTTTGCAATATATGTATCGCACGAGCTATGCGACTGAACATTTCAACGTTACCAAATATGTAGAATGTGAGTACGGCTGGATAAACATGTGGCTCGTGGACAGACCATATAGAAACACTAGTATATGTCTAGCCACGACTTTTACACCCACATTTCTCAAATTCCACCAAACATGAACACTTGTCATTAAGTTGCTTTCAAGGAAAACAGTATTTTCTGATAATTTTAGGAAAACCTTGAGATGGTGATTAAAAATGGAAAACATAGACTTGTTGGATTTGTTGACCTTGGTGAGGGCCACGATCTGATGTCAAGACTATCAGGTAAATAACTTCTGTATAATCCAGGTCGTGAACATTTTATGTGCACCGATTGTCGATAAAGATTTTAAATTTACTGATAGGCTACACCTTTGTAACTGTAATTGTTTATTTTCAGGCAAAACAGAACCCCAATTGGCCACTCATGTGCTACAATTTGTCTTCTTCAGTGATAGTGGGTTTCGTTTTCCAATTGCACAGTTTCCTTCTGCTGAATGCACCCCCAGTGACCTTTATTTCAATGTTTAGAGAGGTGTCAGGAAAATGCTGGAGTTTCGATTTGTGTGAGTGGGAGAAATGTTACTTATGCAAGACTGGCCTGCTGAAGCTACAGAGTGGTATCCCACCTTACAACCACCACAATATGTTGTAATGTTGTAAGGTGTTGTTGGCATATTTTTTGTAATATGTTTGTAGCTTACCCTGCCCTTACTCTGAAATGCCAAAGAAAAAGTATGAAAAAAACTAGCTCAAAATGGAATGTTTGCCCACTGTTTGGGGCTGTACATGCATTTCTAGTGCTGTTGGTTTGATCGACAATCAGTCACATTGTGCAGCATTTTGCAGGTCATCTATTTCTTTTTTCTGTCATCGGTATTTTACTTGAGTTTGCGCACAAGGTATGCTGCTATGCAGAAAGAAAAAAATAAAATAAATCAATTTAAAACACACGCATGTCATGCTGAAAAAACAGTTTTAAGTTCCTTTACAAATTTGGCTCATAATTATGATATATTGGTCATTCAGATTACTACGAATACTTTGCAAGTTTATTTCAGACCTTTTTGAAGTATTCAAATAATCTAGGGAGTTAAAGAGCACTTGATCTTGCACATATTATGATTAATTGATATGAAAAACCCTACAATAAAGTATATCAAATGCAATGTAAGTGTACTCCAGCAGAAAAACATTAGTGATGTTTAATCCAGCATTTCTTATCCGACTACATGTTTGTGGCTTGTCAGTTATCATAACAGAAGTATTCCACAGTTTATAAGAACTGTAGCACAAGGGCACATGTATTAACTCACCTATGTTAGTCTTCAGTTTGAAGAGTCTGTCTCTGTTACTCCTAGATGTCAAAGAATATTATAATCAATTGACAATCATCCCCATGACTTTACTCCATTTAAATATTACCTGGACTGGTTGTTATTGTGTTACCCCTTTTCTCATGACATTTGACACGAGCAAACATGTATCAATTTGAAACTATACTACGTGCAAGAAATCATGAACATTGTAAAATAATACATAATTATGTTTGATTCTAATTCCATTTCTTAACATGAATAACTCTTTGCTTTCCCACTTTACAAAAAAGAAAAATTGGCTCATTCACAGCACACCCTTGGACCCAATCCATACAAATTATAAATTGTAAATAGAGAAATCAATTTCTTCTCACACAAAATACCAAACTATATAAATTTGTCTAAGGAAGGGGAAACCTTGAAACATTTTTTTCTCTTTCCTATAAAGAATCTACTGGTGTATTATGGATGGAGCTGACTGTAACAGGCACTTTATCAAGCTACACTTTCATGAGAGGGATCCAGTGGCTGATAAATTTATTGTACCCAATATACACACTGGAATGCCAATGGTTTTAATCATGGATCCCAAGGTAGACATTGCATGATTGTAAGATCAGTGTAGGCATGTATAACATTGATTGTTTTATTATCAGACATTATGAAAAAAGAAAGTATGGCTGTAAGCACTTAACACAAGATGAAAAACAAGTAATCAAATTTCAATTGATTAGTTCTTGTATTTAACAAAAGAAACAACAAAAGGTTAACAGATTGAAACTTGTACTGATGGCAGTAAATTAAAAATGCTCTTTATAATATAAATGTTTGTTTCATGTTCATTCAGCACAACATAAAGAAAATCCGAAACAACATTAGAAAAAGTAACAAGAGTGGCAAGCCATGTTGCCTAAAGATAAAAGGGAAAAATGTGACTTGGCAGCAGTTTCAAGATGCATTTAACTGGGACCAGAAGACATGCAGCCTTCCACTGCATGAAACACAACACAACACTTTGAGTTGGATCCGGCTGCCAAAACGAGAAACCATTTGGCTGAGGATGTTCTGAATCATAAGATGCTATTTCTCATGCAGGTAAAATAATGTTTGTGCTAAGATACACATGTTACAAATTAGTAATGGCCAGTTTACAAGAAACTGATAGTTTATTGCCCTGGTGACTTAAAGTTAGCATTTCCAGCGGGTTTGCTTTCCTGAAAATTCACCTAGACTATTGCTCAAACATCTATTTTTCCCCTCAAAAGCCAGATAAATCAAGTTAGCACAGTTTTCACATTGCCTAGTTATGAGATCATGATGTTGTAAGTACACGTTCTTGTTATTTGTTTCAACAGAAGTATCAAGAGGAGATGAATGAAAAAGGTGAGGCTGGCTTTGAGATTGAAGGTGTCATCTCAATACTGTCCCACACGGCAAACCTCGCAGAATTGTTCAATGATAAACTGGTCATTTCATCTGCATCAGATCCTCGATTAGGAGAACAAGACCAATTTTATAAATTTATGACCGACTGGAGGGAGGAAAGCTTGGGCAACAACAGCCAATTCGTATCAACCAAACTCTGGTTCGACTTGCAGTCCATGTGTTTAGGATTTAGATCTATGGTGGCAATAAAGTTGACTCAATTTCCCAATTCAGTAATTAAGCCTGCACTGATAAACCAGGATGGGGTTGAAAATCACTTTTGTCAAGTGCATTCTTGCAATGGGCAGAACAACAACCCCACTTATCTTCAACAAGAATCTGCACAAAACTCAATAAGATTTAGTCAAACAACAATAAGCCACAAAAGTAATGTTGGAAAACCAATTGATAGCCCTTTTTCATCTTGCTCACTACCAACAGGCAAAGTACTAGACATTTCTAGAGTGTAGTAACACTAACAAGATGAGCATCTGTAAAATAATCAGTATTCTGGAATCATAAAAAAACATTTTATGTGGCTATTCTGGATCTTGGAACATAATATTAGACAATGGTCATGGCCAATAAATATTTACCTGATAGTCTGAACCTGATCCTCACACTACTAAGGGACTCATCAGCAACTGTTTCTACTACCCGGAACTGTCGGTCATCAACAGACGCAATGAATGGCATTGTCCTATTGCTTCTTATGCCTTCAATGAGTTTTGTAGCCAACACCTTTTTGATTTCACTTTGTCTGAAGCGGACTTTGTATGCTTCACATAATGATACCAGTTCTCCTTTCAAATAGACACGGGCAAGGACACTTGGATCACTACTTTTGGATGAAATGCAGAAGCCGCCCATGAGATGTTACTTTACCTTCTGATCTGTCTGTTAGAATTTCCTGCATATAAGAGTTACATACAAAAAATGTTTCCTTCAATCATGTTTCAACAGAATTGTAGGCAGATGGAGGCATATGTGATAATTAGTTCTAGGCAACTACTAGCAGCATTTTTACACATTAGGGAACAAAACTAGTTTGACATCGCTGTGGGCACGTATTTATAAATGGACTTAAGCAGGGTACGAAATTAACTTTTTTCAGCAGGCGCCAACTGGCGACTGAAATTTTTTTTCAGTCGCCATATGGAAAAATGTGGTCACCAAAAAGTGTCAATAAAATTTTTCCTTCGCAGTGAAACACAAACCAAAATTTTTGGTCACCGCCGGCTTGCTGGCAAAATATGATWTGCAATTGATGTAATCAGGAATCAAACCAGTGCTGAAATCATCTTTTGACCACTTTGACAGATCTACATTTCCACCTTTTGACGCCCAGAGAATATCTAAATCTTCATCTAATTTCTTCGCGGATGTTCCGTCTCCACTTTGTAATAAATTACAGAAAGATTTCGGAACATCTTTGGACACCGCATCGCCTGAATAAATATTCATGGCCAAGTAACGCATGGGACCTCTTACGCCCGCAATACGTATGTTATGGGAAACCGCTGAAAAACATGGCGGCAAAGCTTTGCAATGATCGTAGGTGTAAAAGGTTATGGTTGATTTATAATAACCAGAAAATCAGTTTTATACTTCAAAGGCAGGGGAAAGGTAAAACGGAAGTGACCAATTGCTGGCGGCTTTGAATTCTATTTTAATTGATTTGGCTGAAAATCAAAGTTATTGTTTGTACATTTATCGTGACATGAAATAGTTAATCGCCCACTGGCGACCAGTTGTGAAATTCTGGTCGCCAGTGCAAAATTTTTAGTCGCATTGGCGACCAGGAAAGCGCAATTTCGGACCCTGTTAAGTGTTTATTCAGAGTCTGGTGTTTAGCTAAGGAAATGTCCCTCTCTCTTGATTTCTTCAGCCTGTTTTGGCGAATATTAGCCAAAAAATTTCACCAAATTAATAAAAATTGGAAAACAATTACCAAAAATGCCAATACCAAAATGTCAATAACTTTGTTTCCATCTACGTATCATTGTCCTTAGCTGTTATGTCTGTCATAGAGATTTGTCTGAGTGAAGCCCTAACATAAAATCAGATTTACCCTTAAATAAAGGCTTTACCTATTATATTTAGATGACATTTTCAAAATGGCCGCCGAGCAGAAGTATCTTCTAGTTGCTACTGAACCTGTATGTAAGGTTGTACATTGTATATTCGTACGGATTAAAATAAAAAAACAAGCTAACTCCTTGCGGGGAAAATAAATCCAAACATTTACCTCGACCAATCCCTTACGGAAGGCAAGTGATGTACAACCGCATTTTGTGTTACGTATGTATGTTCTCGCATGACAATAACATTAAAAAACATACTTCATGTAAACTTAATCTTGGAGAAACACTAGTGCCCAGGGCTTTTCGATCAGCCACTGTTCATTTCTACATGTGTAACCTTTAGGTATTACCCACCTTGAAGGGAACTCAGTCCGTCTCCTCTTGATTCTTCTCCTGGCCTTGCAAAGCCCTCTTCCTCAATTCAGCGCTCTTCTTCAGTTCGTAGCTTCGTCGAAAGTCTCTAAGGTACTGAGCCGTACCCATGTGAATAAAACGCTAACAACGGACACCCAAATCGTGTCCATTAACTCCTACAAATATTGAAAGATATTTTAAAATGTCAGTTGCATAAGAGTAACCAAGTTTGAAATCGTGAAAATGACGAATTAAAAATATGCAAGAAAATAGTTGCGGATTTAAAAGACAGTTGCCTTCTTTTCTTCCATGGTCCTCGACATTGAAACACTCCGTCCACTTTACTTTAAGCTAACGGTTGTTTGTGATCATTTGTAAAGCCACTTCCACCATATTGGCTCCTTCTCTGCGCATTGTCTGATCGTTTAATAACTTGACTCTTTCGTTCTCAAGGGCCATGAAAAATTTGTATACAGCATCCTCAATGTGTATAAGGCCCCTTTCCCTGTATTGACGTGCCTCAGTCACCTGAAGAGTGTCCTTGTACTGACTCTCATTTGCTAATATCGTCAATGATCCAACAAGCGATTCTTCAATAAGTTCGCTAATGCTGTGATGCTGCCTCACTGATTGCATGGTTTGCGCGTTCTCGCTGTACATGTTTGCCCTTACGTATCTTCTAGATTTCTCAAGCACTTTCCTGATAGCCCAACCCCCAACATGGCGAACTTTTGCTTTGCCTGCAGCTGGCATATCTTCCACATCAAAGGCGATCGCTTCTTCGTTTGATTCTTTTGCCGATAGAACCAAAAGGTTATCGAGAAATTTCATGTACAAAGCAGTTCCAATATCACAAGCAACTGACCGCTGGGCTGATGTAAAGGTGGAGGCATTGAAGAGGCATAGAATGTACTAGGCAAACTCGGGCGAAACCAATAATTTCTGCAACTTAGCGGTGGCCGTCGTAAAATCGCATCTATTAACCTTAACATCCAGATCGTCGGGGTTATCAAATATGTGAGTCTCCAAGGCGCAGAAAGAATGGAACCACATAATGTAAATGAACGCTTTCACGTTGTCCGAAAACCTGGCATCCAGCAGGACATCTACCGCTTCGTTTACATTTTGACTGAAATCGGAATAAGGCGTTTCCACTTTCAATTTAATCAGAAGCTCTCTCGTGTCTAAACCTGGAGGCGGACGGGACAGTTCTGATTCGTGACTTTCCATCTGTTGATATATTTGAGCGATGCTAACACTGGTATCAGAGTCTTCTAGCTCAAAGTAAGCATGCACCATGCCATCGGAAACATATATGAGGAACTGATAACGGTCCTCGCTAACGTCGTCTAAATCTTCCGGTTGAAACCTGTCGCCAACGTCAAAAAAGGTTTCATCAGCAGCCACCCTCCTTTTGCAGCAACGAAGAGAGGCATCGCATTCTCCAACATCTCGGCTGCACTGAAGAATTACTTCTGGATCAGCTGGTAAAATCTGGTTGCTATTGAACGCTAATACCTGCAGTGTATCTTCAGATCTGACCCGGGACATTGCAACGTAGACTAAACCGGGGACAAATTCTTTCGATGAATGCAGAACTACCGCTGGGAGCTCCAACCCCTGCTATTTATGACACGTTACAGCATTCCCCAGGATAATCGGAAACTGACTTACACTTCCAATTTTCTCACCTTGGCGATTCCTTTGAATCCAGGTAACTCTTTCAATGCCAACTGTACCGACCTTCTCGAAGTAAACCAGAAGTTTATTTCCGTCTACACTCTTAAAAGTTCCCATGCTTCCATTTTTTAGGGCATCTGATCTGTTCCACACTGGCATGACTTTACAATCACGCTTTAAGAACAAGGTTTTTTCCCTCGGAAATTTCATCTTCTCACCTTTTCCATCGAAGGTGGCATCGAAGCGGAGTAACTCACCGTCGAGCTCTTCTAAGACAGAACGATTGAAAAGAAATACAGAATTTTTCTTGAAAAAAATATGCGTTGCCATGCTTTTCAATTGAGGATCCAGGCTTCTAGATAACTCCTCAATAAATGAGGCGGTTTCCTGGCTACAAGTTCCTAATCTGACATCCGATAAACAATTCATGAACATCGTGTCCACGGTATCCGATTGACGCAACACCTTGGTGAGTTGAAATCTGTGGGTTATGGCGTATACAAATACTCGTGAAAGGAACATGAAGGAACCCGAATCAAACGAGCTTGGTACGGGGCGTAACTGTAAAAACTCACCAACGATAATAATTTGCTTTCTCGCAAATGGCAAACTCTCTCCCTCGGACTTATCTTCACAGAGTCTGTGATGCAAGGCATTCACAAGTTCCAACATACGATCACTCGACATACTTGCTTCATCCCAGATTACTACATCCACTGTTTTAAGTTTTTTCGAAACTCCTACGTTGCTTGTTGCACGATCGATAAGTTGACCGGAAGGCATATTTGCGGCGCCAAGTCCATAGTACGAGTGGACAGTAGATGCAACAACTCGATCATAAACTTGGCAAGCGATTCCACTGGAACAAATTACAGCTACTTTAAGTCCACGCTGCCTGCAGTCATCACGGATGACATTTACCACTCGGGATTTTCCTGTTCCACCTTGACCGGTAACCAATACGTTATGGCCATTCCTGGCAAACTGAGAAATTTCCGCTTGTTCGGGAGTGAGGTTTTCACCCATACTACAAACTACGATACAAACAACTTTACAATACAAAACAGCGAACGGCACCTAACTTTTCCAGATTTGACATATATGCTCCGAATGCATTCGCGGCTTTTCGCGGGGTTTTAACCCATCAAGCGTTAGCGGTTTCCGGTGAAATCTAACGCAGTGTACCCTCGCAAGGTGTTGATTTGCATATAGGCAATAGTTCCGTCCCACCCCGACCGAGTGCTGTTTTTGTCGAGCGGACGTGGTCGCTAAGCTTAGATTTCAAATCTGGTATCCGCACCGTTGGTTTACGCATGATGCAGCAGCGAGAGAGGCAGATTTGAACTGGTAAAAGAGCGATTTTCAGGCCCTTGCGATGAGATTTGTGAACCAGCGACCGACAGACTGGGAAGCGAGTTATTCACGCTTCGGCTGATCGTGATTTGAGGCGGCTGAGTCCATTCCTCGGGAATATTTTGGCCTTCGCAGTACGATGGTTCGATTCTGAGCCAGCCAGCCTTGTGTTTTTTCTAGTGGGACACCACCTTCAGCGCTAACTCGCTGAAAACGCTTCAAAACGGCCTCAAACACCGTGGAACAACAAAGAATACGACAGGAAAGCAAGGTAAGTCAGTTTTATTCACAGAACATTAAATTTGAGGTATTTAAAGCAAACCTGTAAAGTTCCCATACAAACCCCTGTAAATCGCATCTTTGTAACACAACACCGCTCGAAGGCAAGAGTCACGTTCGCATACGTTTCATTTACATTAATTATTTCCTCTCATCTCGTGCTTGGGCCGCCTGTGCAGAAACTGAGTATGATACAGAAAGTAAGGTAAGAATTTTTAATGATTTGATGTCTTATGCTAAAAGAAGAAATGATTATAATACTGGAACACAACTGAATCTCGCAAACTTTGATAGTCTTTATGGTATGATATATTTTGATTTAACAAACCAAGCAGAAAAAGTTTGAATGGATCCCAAACAGTTAATTTTCAGATACAAAATCACTGTTGCTCCAGCAGCTGGATTTAACGTTCATGTAACTGTCTTTTATGAAGAGATGGTTGTGATTGACTAAGTGGGTAATGAATTAATTATTGTATAATTTTGGCTGTGACTAAAAGTGGGACGGGGACTTGGGGACTGGGACGTGGCACGTAGGACTCGATGACGCGGGGACTTGGGGATGCCGGGACGGGGGGACGTGGGGAC